CTTGCGAAGGCGTGGCAATTTTTACTCAGTATTTTTGTAGCAATTTCTACTCGCAGTAATATGCATGGAATTGTTGAAAGAACCCAATAATCTGGAATCGGATTGCCGGCAGTGACAGCAACGATATTTTAACAGCGCGTACATATTTAGGATTCTCGGATTTTTTTCCTCCGACTTCAATTTTCTCCCACCAGGTGGCGCGGCCAGACCAGGCAGCGACCACCGATCAATCGATCATTAGTACGCAGTTCAATCAATGTACGTAGTAATCATCAAACTGTTACAGAACTGTTAGCGCATCCACAAATAACACAGACGTTGCCATGTAATCACCAAAGCAAAGCAATTTCGTTTCGACTGTTATTAATTTCTGCCGCCGGATTTGATCGAGTCGTAGCAAACCGAAGTCTTAACGATGAAGATCTTTAAGGGGGAACGCATGACCCATCAAACGCAGACCGACGACTCCGGCAGATATATATCTGGCCAACTCGATCATCCGCTCTCTGTACTTCACTGGCCGTTGCCAGCTAATGGGCGATGTCCCATTGTAACTTATGTGTGAAAGATTTTCTCAAGCACGAGTCAAAATACTGGTGAAGTATAATGCCGCCGACAGCAGCAGCAGAAGCAACGGATGCAATACTGCACGCTAAAAAGGAAGACCGTCGCGAGAATGCCTTTTTGCTTCGAAAGGTGGAGAGAGAGACAGAGAGAGAGAGAGAGAGAGAGATAGAGAACACCTCGCGGGCGCACACACGACGCCCTATATAGTCGTAGGCAGCGGTCACGGGCGCCCGTCTCCACTGAAAACAAACAGTCGAGCAATTACTCACACCGTCGGTAAACAAGCCACACGGCGGCGCTAGCGTCGCTCGCCACCACCGACGGCAAATTACAGCCGCCTCCTCCTCCTTCTTCTTCTTCGCGATTCAATCACGAAGCCGCCAAATGAGATTCCAAGCTCCCGATGGCACCCCGAGCATCGATTCAGTGGGGAGGACGGGAGCAGTGTGTTAGCCAGAGACCCGTCTACCCGTCTTTTGGACGGCCTATTCTTGGATGAGACGCAATAAATTTGATAGAGACGGCACGAGGGTGGCCCGATTGTTTTATATTATACACCTTGTATAACTGACAACAGTGCTTATACGAATATAAAATCATATCAGATTCCTGTCTTTTTGGCATTTCAGACTAAATTTCCTCCATTTTAAGGTATAAGGCCCTCCCCCCTAGGGAGCTTCGCGCCCGCAGCATCCTTGCTTCGCTCAGATGGTGAGTTCTAGACTCACAGATTTTTTCCTGGCTAACACCCTGGTTCACGAGAGGGTACCACGGTGCGTGAATGAATGAACCCCCTACCAGGGCGTCAAGCAACATGTGGTCCTCAAAAAATAGGAAAATATGAGTTAGAAAGCCAAAGAAATAGGAGAAAATAGGAGTTTGAAGTAAAAAAAAAATTGGAGAAAAATAAGAGGTTTTGCTTCCATTTATTAGTACCGATGGCCTCCCAACTCCCGTTTTAGCCATCCAGATACCTTCTAACATACACCTCCGCACATCCTAAAACTGCAGCTACGTAGCGAGCTTGCGTCGCTTGATTATGTACATCAAACGATCCGCGGCAGTGAGCGGTCACAGAAGAGAGAGAAGCTGAGAGAGAGAGAGGAGGAGAGAGAGAGAAGAGCGAGACGAGAGAGAGACAAAAAAGAGAGAGTGAGGAGCAGTTAACGAGAGAGGCAGAGAGAGAGCGCGCAGCAGCCGCAACCACCGCGACGTGTTGCTGAGGCATGTTATGTTGTCATCAGCTCACCGTGGTGATATTTGCAATCAAATGTTCCTAGCTCTACCACCGCCCCAGTCGGCGAAATTGTCTCGCTTAATTACACGCTTATTGTTTGCCTCGCCGTGTCAGCCAACCCACACAGGTAGGCTAATTCTCTCGCCCTCCTGCTTCCTCCTCTCCCACCATCCTTCCACTCCTTTCTTCTCTCTCTCTCTCGCTCCCCCTCTCTCTTTCTCTCTCTCTCTCTCTCCCTGTCTCTTTCTTTCCATCTATCCCTGTTCTCATTTTCACTTCTCCCCTTCTCTCACTCGCTCCTACTCTCCCGCTCTCTTCCTCTCTCTCTCTCTCTCTCTCTCTCTCTCTCTCTCTCTCTCTCTCTCTCTCTCTCTCTCTC